AAAAAAAAAAAAAAAAAAAAAAAAAAGGAAAAAAGACGTTACAGATGAAGAGTATTGGAGGGCAGATACTCCATCTAGAAAAATTCAAATGTAACAGAAAGGATAACACAGCACTTTCTCGCTTGCACTCCCAGAGGGTTGCCATTAACAACGTTTTGTTTATATTCCTCCAGGTGCTGATCTTATTGTTAACGTTCATGTGTAAATTTGGGCATGAGGTGGCTCACATCTATAGTCCCAGCACTTTGGGAGGCCAAGGTGGTAGGATGGCTTGAGGCCAGGAGTTCAAGACCAGCTTGGGCAACATAAGAAGAACCATCTCTACAAAAATAAATGCATTAGCTGGGCATGGTGGTGCATGCCTGTAGTCCCAGCTACTCGGGAGGCTGAGGTGGGAGGATGCTTGAGCCTTTAAGTTCAAGACCGGCCTGGGTAATATAATGAGACCCTATCTCAAAAAATAATAAGGCCGGGCACGGTGGTTCATGCCTGTAATCCCAGCACTTTGAGAGGCCAAGGCGGGTGGATCATGAGGTCAGGAGTTCAAGACCAGCCTGGCCATATGGTGAAACCCCGTCTCTACTAAAAATACAAAAATTAGTTGGACGTGGTGGCAAATGCCTATAGTCCCTGCTGCTTGGGTGTCTGAGGCAGGAGAATTGCTTGAACCCAGGAGGCAGAGGTTTCAGTGAGCCAAGATTATGCCACTGCACTCAAGCCTGGGCCACAGAGCGAGACTCTATCTCAAAATCATAACCATAATAAAAATGAAAATATACATAGAGACAAGAGCCAAGCATAGTAGATGCCCCCCTACCCCATCCCCAGAACAAACACCATGTGCCTGCGGAACTCTTGACTTATTAACATAAAAAGTATTGTTGGCTGGGCTCAGGGACCCACGCCTGTAATCCCAGCACTTTGGGAGGCCAAGGCAGGTGGATCACTTGAGGTCAGGAGTTCAAGACAAGTCTGGCCAACATGGTGAAACCCTGTCTGTACTAAAAATACAAAAATTAGCTGAGCGTGGTGGCAGACGCCTGTAATCCCAGCTACTTGGGAGGCTGAGGCAGGAGAATTCCTTGAGTCTGGGAGGCAGAGGTTGCAGTGAGCTGAGATCGTGCCACTGCACTCCAGCCTGGGCGACAGAGCGAGACTCTGTTTCATAAAAAGAACATACACACACATACACACAAAGTGTTCTTACATTTTCCTGGGGCTGAAATGCTCAGTGAAGTTTTTGCTCACTCAAATTTTGTGTTCATACAGGTTGGCTTCTTCAAACGGAACCTGAAGGAGATGATGGAGGCTGACAGAGGTGTCCCAAATAGAATCCCTGCAGAAGACTCCAGGCAGCTGGCATCTGAGGAAGAGGCTGGGGATCCAGGCTGCCTGAAGAACCTCCACGAAGAGGACATGGAGAGTGGCAGCAGCAAGGACTGAGTCCAGGCCTGTGATGTGCAGAGGGTCCAGGACTGGACTCGGGACGCCCAGGGCCACTCTGCCTCTGCCTGCATTCCTCTGTGTGCCCCCGAGGGAGTCACTGCCCCTCACTGGGCCTCAGTTTCCCTATCTTGAACATGGGGCTCATGCTTGCCTGCCTCCTTTGCAGGCTCATAGGGTGGACCTGCTGAGGGACTGGCCAGGAGGGCTGCAGAAGTGTGAACTTGTCATAACCAGACGGTCCTGGCTTCCACCAGCCTCTCTTGGTTTCTCTCCCTGGAAGAGAACGTCTGCTCTAAATGTGGAGAAACTGTAGTCTCCGGACCTAGAGACGTTCCTGACCCTCACACCTGCCCTGGGAGGTCCACAGATGCCTCCACCCCCGAGAAAACTGTCCCTGCATGCTCCCCTGCACTGGAGCCCAGTCTCTTCTGCTGGCATTGAGCAAATGTGACCCGTGTCATTACATGACTGTGGCACACGCCTTTCTCTTGGCCAGATACCAAATTCCTTGACATGCCTTCCAGCACCTTGCAAAATGAGACCCCTGCGGCCTTCCCCAGCCTCTTCTAGAGCTGTGCCGCCTTCCTGTTGAAGCTCCAGTGATACCAGCCTTTCTCCCAAGCCAGGCTCCTTCCTGTCTACCTGCGTTCACCCTGACAGCTCCCACTGCCCAAACCTTCCACCCTGCCACCCCTCCTTTTCTGGCCGACAGATCCCAGCTCACACATCAGACTCGGTTGGGTCCCCATGTCCTTCACACTTCCACCAGCCTGCACTTATCCCTCAAAGCACACATCATGTTTTTTCCCTGTTTAATGATTTACCTACTTAGCAGCTATCTCTCAGTGATCTCTGTGAGGGTAGAGGCCATACTTGTCTTGTTCACCTTGGGACGCCTGCTGATATGTCAGGGCATGGGACATCTAGTAGGTGCTTGACACAATTTCACTGAATTAATGATGGAGTCTGTGGGAAGATGTAGAAAAAGGGGATGGGCTGGGCGCCGTGGCTCACACCTGTAATCCCAGCACCTTGGGAGGCCAAGGCAGGTGAATCACCTAAGGTCAGGAGTAAGTTTAAGACCAGCCTGGCCAACATGGCAAAACCCCATCTCTACTAAAAATACAAAAATAAGCTGGGCGCAGTGGCTTATGCCTGTAATCCCAGTACTTTGGGAGGCCAAGGCGGGAAGATCACAAGATCACGAGTTCAAAACCAGCCTGGCCAACATGGTGAAACCTCATCTCTACTGAAAATACAAAAATTAGTCAGGTGTGACACTCGCCTGTAGTCCCAGCTACTCAGGAGGCTGAGGCACAAGAGTCACTTGAACCCAGGAGGTGGAGGTAGCAGTGAGCCGAGATTGCATCACTGCACTCTAGCCTGGGCAACAGAGTGAGACTCTGTCTCAAAAAAANAAAAAAAAAAAAAAAAAAAAAGCCGGGCATGGAAGTATGCGCCTGTAGTCCCAGCTACTTAGGAGGCTGAGGTGGGAGAATCACTTGAACCAATGGGAGGCAGTGGTTGCAGTAAGCCAGGATTGCACCATTGCACTCCAGCCTCAGCGGCAGAACGAGACTCCGTCTCAAGGAAAAAAAAAAGGGTGGACATGGGCCCATGGCCTCCCTAACCTTGGAGGCTCTGTCTTCCCAGGCTCTGCCCCTGAGCTGGCTCCACACCCTCTCCCAGGACCCATCACACCTGTGCAGTGGCCTCCACAGAAAGACTGAGCTCAAGGTGGGGACCACGTTTGCTCACTTGGAGCCCCAGTGCCAAGCACAGTGCCTGCATGTATTTATCCAATAAATAAATTCTGCCCAATTTTGTGATGTGTTTGTGTGGTGCAATATTGCAGCCCTGCTCAATTAAGTGAACATTTCTGGCTGGGCCCTGGGGCTCACACCCGTATTCCCAGCACTTTGGAAAACCAAGGCGGGAGGATCCTTTGAGGCCAGGAGTTTGAGACCAACCTGGGCAACATAGCAAAACTCTGTCTCTACAAAAAATTAAAATATAAAACTTAGTCAAGGCTGATTGAACAAGCCTCCAGCTACTCAGGAGGCTGAGACAAAAGGATCATGGGAGCCCAAGAGGTCAAGGCTGCAGTGAACTATGATCACATCACTTCACTCCAGCCTGGGCCACAAAGCAAGACACTGCCTCCAAAATTTAAAAAAAGCCCAGGCACAGTGTCTCGCGCCTGTATAATCTCAGCACTTTGGGAGGCCTAGGTGGGTGGATCACCTGAGGTCAGGAGTTCGAGACCAGCCTGGACAACATGGTGACACCCCATCTCTACTAAAAATATAAAAAAATTAGCTGGGTGTGGTGGTGGGCAGCTGCAGTCCCAGCTATTCGAGAGTCTGAGGCAGGAGGATAGCTTGAACCCAGGAGGTGGAGGTTGCAGTGAGCCAAGATCGTGCCATTGCACTCCAGCACGGGTGACAAGAGCAAGACTCTGTCTTAAAAAAAAAAAAAAAAAAAAAAAAAATGACCAAAGAACATTTTTTTCCTCAACTCTTTCACTAAGTGGGACCAAAATAGCTCTTCTTCCTTTCACCTCCCTACCTTTTTTTTTCTTTTTTTTTTTGCAATGATGACCCTCAGATACTGACTTGTGCCTGACATTGTGGAATAATTCAAAAGAGAAGGAAGTAGGCCGGGCATGGTGGCTCATGCCTGTAATCGCAGCACTGTGGGAGACCAAGGGGGGTGGATCACCTAAGGTCAGGAGATCGAGACCAGCCTGGTCAACATGATGAAACCCCATCTCTACTAAAAATACAAAAATTAGCCTGGCATGATGGCAGGCGCCTGTAATCCCAGCTACTCAGGAGGTGGAGGCAGGAGAATCACTTGAACCTGCGGGGGGATGGGGAGTGGAGGTTGCAGTGAGCTGAGATTGCGCCAGTGCACTCCAGACTGGGTGACAGAGTGAGACACAGTCTCAAAAAATAAATAAAAGCAAATAAAAAATTTTATTCCAGTGCAAGAAAAGAAAGAAAAAAAAGTTTTTAAGTACATAAAAGTATTGGTAGATATCAGAAACATAAGTCAGCCTCTAGTCACTCACCCAGTGTTTCTTGAGTGCCTTATGTCAGGCCCTGTTCTGGGTTCATTTGAGGTCAGGAGTTCAAGACCAGCCTGACCAACATGGTGAAACCCCGTCTCTACTAAACATACAAAAACTAGCTGGGCATGGTGGCATGTGCCTGTATTCCCAGCTACCCAGGAGACTGAGGCAGGAGAATGGCTTGAACCCAAGAGATGGAGGTTGCAGTGAGCCAAGATAACACCACTGCACTCCAGCCTGGGCGACAAAGCAAGACCCTGTCTCTCTTTATATATATGATTCCCAAAAACCTTTTGTTTACATGGATTACAGCTGTCCATATCTATCAAAATATACATTAAAATGGAGACAAATGCAAACAAGAACACCCAAGCCAGGCAACATCGCTCATGCCTATAATCTTAGCACTTTGGGAGGCTGGGATCACTTGAGCCCAGCTTGAACAATGTAGTGGGACCATCTTTTTTTTTTTTTTTTTTGAGGTGGAGTCTTGCTGTGTTGCCCAGGCTGGAGTACAATGGCACAGTCTCAGCTCACTGCAACCTCTGCCTCCTGGGTTCAAGAGATTCTCCTGCTTCAGCCTCCTGGGTAGCTGGGACTACAGGCACACACCACCACACCTGGCTAATTTTTGTATTTTTAGTAGAGATGGGGTTTCACAATGTTGGCCAGAGTGGTCTCGATCTCCCTACCTCATGATCCACCTGCCTTGGCCTCCCAATGTTCTGGGATTACAGGCATGAGCCACCATGCCTGGCCATGGGACCTTGTCTCTAAAAAATAAGACAAATAACCCAGCTATATATGCTTCAGAGCTGTTGTGAGCATTGAGCATTGAGTGAGCAGCACCTGTAAACTGCTGTGCACTGTCGTAGCACTAAGCACTTGATAGTGGTTGTGGAGAGAAATGGTTTATGTGTGCAGGTGGTAGAGTGGAAAGCATCACACTGGACTCAGGTCAAGAGACGGCTGTGCAGGTGCAGCCCTCCCACTAGCTTGCCATGTGAGCTTGGGGGAGACACATGCCCTCTTGGGGTTAGGTCCATACCACCTGGGTAGAGATGGAGGTGCTTCCGGAGCTGTCATGGCAGACGGGGTGGGTCCAAGCCCCACCCTCATTTGCCCTGGTTTTGTATACATGGGTACAAACCACATTATCAGTTAAGCACCCTAGCCACTGTGCCCAGGGCCTCCCATCTTCTGAGGGTCTACAAACATGTTTAGAAGCTGAAAAAAGTCAACTCCAAAATATGAAAATCAAATAGATTGAGTTAGGTGTGATACTAATAATTGACAAAAAAAAAAAGAAAGAAAATTAGGCTGGGCGTGGTGGCTCATGCCTGTAATCCCAACCCTTTGGGAGGCCGAGGCAGGCAGATCATCTGAGGTCAGGAGTTTCAGATCAGCCTGGTCAACATGGCGAAACTCTGTCTCTACTTAAAGTACAAAAATTAGTTGTATGTGGTGGCGCACACCTGTAGTCCCAGCTACTCTGGAGGCTGAGGCAGGAGAATCTCTTGAGCCTGGGAGGCAGAGGTTGCAGTGAGCTGAGGTGGCACAACTGCACTCCAGCCTAGACAAAAGCTAAACTCCATCTTAAAAAAAAAAAAAAAATCTATATCTATCTATCTATCTATCTATCTATCTATCTATCTAAAATAGCTGAGTGATTTTCCAGCAGCTGAGTGATTTCCCAAGGTGTGGCCGGTCCTCTTCGTCTAAGGTCACAACTGGCCACACTCCAGAATCCCCCAGACTCATCGATGGCACTAACTCTCCATCCATTCTGAGGGGTTAGGAAGGCTGAAGCTTGACTGGGAAAGGAAAGCAAGATAAAGGGGGCGGAAGGGGCAGGTGGGCCCACCACCTAAAAAGATGTAAGAGCCACTGCAATGAGACTAGCATGGTGGAAGGGCTTAGGGGCCAGAGCAGTTGTCCAATCCTCACACCTGATCAAATATGTACCCCGCGTGGGGGTGGGGTTGGAACTGCAGACACCTGCTGTGGCTCTGCATAGGGTGGTGGCTAGAGTTCTGGCTGTGAGACAGGGAGGGTGGGCAGCTGGGTGCCAGGAGCCAGGGAAAGACGGAAAACAGGCTCTAGGCCAGGGTCTGTTTTCTGGCCCAAGGACAGACCCTCTGTTTAGGAAGCAGGATCTCCGCAAAGTTGAGGGCTTGGCTTCTGCATACCTCCCACATCGGGCCCACTCTGTTTGTCCAGCATTCAAAGCATGGGACATGAACTTGGGCAGATGCGAGCGAATTATGTCTTCTGACCCACAAATTATAAGATTACGGTAAAACATTGACCATAAAAGCACCACCAGGCCAGGTGCAGTGACTCTCACCTGTAATCCTAGCACTTTGGGAGACTGGCGGAGTGGGGGTGGGGATCACCTGAGTTTGAGAGCAGACTGACCAACATGGGGAAACTCCATCTCTACCAAAAATACAAAATTAGCCAGGCATGGTGGCGCACCCTTGTAATCCCAGCTACTCAAGAGGCCGAGGCAGGAGAATCACTCAAACCCGGGAGGCGGAAGTTGCAGTGAGCAGAGATCCCACCAATGCACTCCAGCCTGGGCAACAAGAGCAAAACTCTGTCTCAAAAAATTAAAAAAATAAAATAAAAGCACTTCCAGGTGGCCACTACACTCACAGTCCCAGCTTCTCTGGAGGCTGAGGCAGGGAGATCACTTGAGCCCAGGAGTTCTGGGCTGCCATGAGCCATGCCGGGTGTCTGCACTAAGTTCAGCAGCAATATGGTGACCTCCTGGGAGTGAGGGGCCACCAGGTTCCCTAAGGAGGAGTAAACCATCCTAGGTGGGAAACAGAGCAGGTCAAAACTCCCATGCAAGACTGCATCTGTGAATAGCCACTGCACTTCAGCCTGAGTGGAACAGCAAGACTTCATCCCTAAAACCTTTTTTTATTTTTTGAGATGGAGTCTTACTCTGTCACCCAGGCTAGAATATAGTGGTGCAATCTCAGCTCACTGCAACCTCTGCCTCCCTGGTTCAAGCGATTCTCCAGCCTCAGCCTCCTGAGTAGCTGGGGCTACAGGCGTGCACCACCACACCGGGCTAATTTTTGTATTTTTAGTAGAGACAGTGTTTCACCATATTGGCCAGAATGGTTTCGATCTCCTGACCTCGTGGTCCACACATCTCGACCTCCCAAAGTGCTGGGATTACAGGTGTGAGCCACTGTGCCCGGCCAAAATTTTTAAAAAGAAAAAAACACTTCCACACCAGGAGTGGTGGCTCACGCCTGTAGTCCCAGCACTTTGGAAGGCCCAGATGGGCGGATCACTTGAGGCCAGCAGTTCAAGACCAGCCTGGCAAATACAGTAAAACCTAATCTCTACTAAAAATACAAAATTTAGCCAGTGTGGTGGCAGGCGCCTGTAATCCCAGCTACTCAGGAGGCTGAGGCAGGACAATTGCTTGAGCCTGGGAGGTGGAGGTTGCTGTGAGCAGTGATCAGGCCACCGAACTCCAGCCTGGGCAACAAAGCAACACTCCCATCTCAAACAGAAAAAAAAGAGAAAAAGCACTTCCAGCCAGGAGCTGT